CAGGTCCATTTTTAATCTCAGATAGGAAGCTGTGAAAAGTCGTGTTGCTGTAAAAGAAAACATGTTAAAAATTTTCATCAGTTTTTCACCTTGCTTTTAAATTTTTCTAAAGTCTCATCAAAACTTTTGAAAAATTACAGCACTGGTTACCTAAAATGATTACAGGTTCAGATTTTAAAGTGGTTTAGAGAAATTTGGAAGTACTCTGTAGCTGATACAATGAATTATTTTGTTATTGAATTACAAAAAATCAAACCTGTTTTTATACAATTTAAGATAGAAGATATGATTATCTAGAGAAAAAAGCTTAATTGTTCAGGCTGAAGTGTTGCAATTTTTCTTTCTGCGCTAATCTTTCTGCCCCTTCAGATAAATCCCTATAGGGTGGAACGCCTCTGTTGCCCCGTCTGTCAGCGTGTCTTCCCCCAGCGGCCTGTATGACAGTGTGAAGCTGGTAGTTACACCTTCAGTATCTGAAATACCAGCAGAGCCAGCCCCCAACAGTGGACAAGTCTCAACAGAGCTTCCAGGCCAGGAGGAAGGGCTGGCCCTCTACTTCCAAAAACGTGTCTGTGAGAACCTGTGGGTCGCGGCCGAATACTGTGCAGCGCCGACCTGGAAGATGAGCCTCTACGTTGGGAGGCACTGAGAACTCCCGGTGGCCGCAGCAGAGGGCTTCAAGGTTACCAAAGCTGTGAAAATCGTGCAGAACCAGGCAGCATGCCCTTCGGTTCTGTATGGAGTCGCCCTGAGTTGCCAGCTCAACGGGCACCAACAATGAGTGATCAGCCCAAGTTAGAGCCGTGAGCAGCAGAGAGGAGTCACCTCTTCAACCAGAGTGTCATGGTTGTCTGTGGGCAGCTCTGGGGAGGGTGCTCGACACAGCAAAGCAGCGACTTGGCTCCCACAGTGTCTGTGTTAACTTCCTTAATGTCACCATTATTATTCTAGTCTATTATTATTATTAATAATTCACACCTTTAGTTTCCGGGTTAGGCCATGGTCCTGGTCAGGAAACAGAACTCTTACTGAAAACAGAGCATCTTACTGAGAAAGAGGTCACTGAAGCACTGAGGCGTTGCTACTAGGTTTAACAAGTTGGCTTCAACTCAGAGGCTCCCCACATACAAGAGGGCAGACCACCCACCACCCCTTCTGTGCCATCTTCGTAAGCATTCGACCCCTTGTTGTAAGCGCTGTGCCAGTCTCTCCTCACTGAAGACCTTTCTTTTCATTGCTGACTCTAACATTTCCAAGCCTTGTGTCTTTGTCCAGAGACTGGTCCCTCCCAGTAACCTACCACAAAGGATGTGACATGAATGTCCCCCTCATCTGCCTTGACTTCTTCCAAAACATATTAGCCTGCTCTTCTGGAAGTCCGTGGTATGTACAACACTTCGACCAACGCCATCGTTCAAAGGCATCCATTCTTTGATCTTCATTACCCACTGTTGAGCTTCTACAGGCACGTGAGGCGGTTAAAAACACCATGGTTCGGGTCAAGTGTACCTTACACTCAAAAAGGTGGAAGTAGATGAGATTCCATCCACACCAGTGAAGATCTAATCCCTGTGTAGCTACATGTCATTTTGGTGACTTCCTGCTATTAAGACCAAGGAGGAGAGAGGAAGGAAGCTGTGGGTTGGCATCACTTCCTTCATGGGGATGGGATGGACTGGGGTCAATGTGCTAGAGGGGGGACACTTGCCGTGGTAGTTACCACTGCCTGAGCAGACGGTGTGATCAAATAATTGTGGTCTATGCTTGTGTCACTTCATGTACCTGTTTCTAAATCACAGATTGCTGTTGACCTTGACTTCATTGTGTGGGACATGACCTGGAGTGGAAGAATGTTGTTGTTGTTGTGTACCATAGAATCAGAGCTGACTCATAGCTGGCCCTCGGTGGGTTTTCAGAGGCAGTTAATCACATGGGAGGAGATTGCCCATCCTTCTCCCACGGAGCAGCTGGTGGCCTCAAACCCTATGCCTTCAGGATTGCAACGCAGCATCTTGCCACTGGGCCACCAGAGCTCCCCTGGAAGAGAGTGTAGGAGTTAGGAAAGCAAGAGATGAAGTTAAAATTTCAAATGAAGATATGGAGGTTTAGGGAGGGGTTTTTAGTTGGTTTGTTGAGGGGGGCATTAAGTAAAAAAGGGGGAGCTCTGGTGGCCTACTGGCAAGAAGCTGTGCTGCCATCCCGAAGGCACACGGTTCAAAACCACCAGATGCTCTGCTGGAGACAGAGGGGCAATCACCTCCCGTGCCAGTTGGATCTGATTCGATGACACACAACAAGAAAAAATAAGTTCAATAAATAAATTAGTAATTTTAAAAAAAATGGATTAGTCTCTGCACTTAGCTCACTTAACAGTATAAAAAGAGTTGCTAGTCCAAGAGCAAAGGAAAGCGTGGGGATATAGTCAATAAAAAGCTTATTAATTCCCTTTTAAACGTGACATGAAAAGAAATAAGGCAGTAGGAAAAGACTAGAGACCAATGGCAGAGGGCCACCATTCATAGGCAGTCACATGACTGCTACTGTGTAAGAGACAACCAGATGACTGATTGACAGATAGAACAACCAACCAACAGACAGAATGTCTCCTACCCTGATGGCCTCCTTCTGTCGTCCAGCTCCCAGCAGCTTAGCAAGTTACTGAAAAGACCATGACCTGAATCAGGCACACCTTAGTCCTCATCCTGACATCACTGCTCCTCAGTAATTTGGAGAGATCCCGGACTGCAGACATTCTCAGTGGGCTACATCTCCTGATTCACCTGATCGCTGGTACAAAAGGTATTGATTATGGATCCAAGTAAGATGAAGTCATTTCAATCTTTTCTCCATCTATCACAATGTGCCCCATAGGCCTAGTGGTGAGAAGTTTTGTTTTCTTGATGTTGAGAAGCCTCCATATTGAAGGCTACAGTGTTTGATTTTCTGCAGCAAACACTTTAAGTACTCCTCAATTTCAGCAAGCAAGATTGTGTTATCAGCGAACTGAAGGTTATTGATGAGTCTTCCTCCAATTCTGATGCCATGTTCTTCACAGAGTTCAGCTTCACAAATAATTTGCTCAGCATACACAAAGAATTGATGCCTTTGAACTGTGGTGTTGAAGAAAAGTACCGAATATCCCATGGAACAGGTATGTCCCGAAGAAGGTGCAGCCAGAGTGGTCCTTGGAGGCAAGGATGACAAAGCTTCATCTCACAGACTTCGGATGTGCTGCTAGCAGAAGCTCTTCCTAGATGGACATCATTCTTAGAAAGGTAGGAGGAAGGCAAAGGAGAGGCAGACTCTCAACCAGGTGGATCCACACAGCGACGGCAGCAATGGCCTTGAGTGTGGGAGAGACTGAGAGGACAGGACAGGACAGGGTCCGGATGTGTTGGTCGTAGGGTCACCATGAGTCATACTTGACAGTATCTAACAACTACTAGTGACCTGTAAACAGCACGGAATGTCACTCTGCCCTGAGCCACCCTCACAAGTGCCGGCATGTTCAAGTCCCTCGGTGGCTGCTGGCCCAGTCCATCTCGCTGCAGTTCTCTCCCCCGGTTGCTGGTCCTTTGCTTTGCCAAGCCTGATGTCCTCCAACACTGGCCCCTCCGGCTGAATTGTCCAGCGCTAGCAAGTCACATAATGTCGTGTGACCCACAGGTATTCATCAGCTCACTTTTGTAAGTAGGTCGCCAGCCCTCTCTTCCTGGTCTCACTCAGTGTAGCAGGTCTGTCTCTCCACCAGGCGTGACCCTGCTGGTATGTGCAGTGTCAGTGGCATGGCTTCCAGCACACCACCACATGGGCCACCATAGCAAACGGACCCATGGGTGGCCAGGGCACAAAGGTTAACTGGCAAACCCCTTCATGACCTTCAACTTACGCTAGGACCTCACCACTGCTGGCCTTTTCTCTGACAGCACTGGGCCTCACTGCCAAGTCCTGTTCCTACCGACCCCTGAGTTTTCTCACCTAGCCAATTCGAGAAGTATTTTCCGACATGAGTTCCTCATTCTGTTAACTACATTTTGTGAAGAAAAGTACTTTACCAATATCTGGCTTTGGAAAACGGTTTAAAACCTTTATTTAAAAACATTCAATTCCACTAGAAATATATACAAAGAGAAGGATTTGAATTAAAATGTGGAAAACTCACAGCAAACAAAGCCATACTCTGATAAAATAAAAATAAATTGGTGATGTCACAACATAACCAGTCTTAATGGCCACCTCAGGACAATGGACTTCAGGACAATGGCCAGATCAGCTGCCACCTCAAGACAGACTCGGGCCAGCAACTGGGTCAGATGTCCTTGGAGCTGTCCACCTCTCGTGGTTCTGCTCCACAAGTTAACAGTCAGCACATAATGCTCTAGTTGGATGTAGTCTCACTTTTACCCACATGACAGTGACGCCATTTATTTCATAAGCACCACATCCAAGAATGGGATGTCTCCCTCAGAAAATACTTGGGTGAGCCCTGTGTACAAAGTGACTGAGAAACCTTTCAGGAACAGCATCAGGTAACATAGGAAGTGTCGTTGAACCCCAGCTTCTTATAAGCTGGTGCCAAAATGCAAAAGCAAGCGTAGCTCCTTTCCAGGTAGTCAGAGTCCCTTCATCCTGGGGAGGTGACGGACAGCATCAGCTCATGGTCTCCGGGCTCCACCGAGGGTGTCCCCTCCCTCCTCCTCAGAGTCCCAGGCTTCCCTTTGTCAATCAGCAAACATGAGACATGAACACACGCTTTGCACGTGGGAACTGTAACAAGGGAGAGACGTGGCTGTCAGTGGTGGCCGAGATGCTTTCTGACAACCCGCCTTGCAGACATGCCGTCTCGGCTGGGAATGGCTTTGGGAATCTCTGGGCATCCAAGTTGGTTCATCTCTCCCGCTCATCTGGGATTGTGGGCATCATCCCCGAGTCTGTCGGGGGTTGTCGGCATCGCCTCTGCAGGCTGTTGAGGAGGCTGGCTGGTGGAGAACGGGTCCTTGTCACAAGGACATGAAACTGTCCCCTGAGGGTTCCACACAGGTGAAGCTCGAAGACCTTCTGCTCTTCCCTCCTACAAGGCGTTTGGTGCTTCTGGGTCTCGATGGTGTGCCCACGTCCTCGGGGCCATGGGAGCGGGCCTCTCCCATGGGGGACGCCTGCTGGGCTTCTCGCAGTTCCCTGGTGGCAGACAGCAAGGGGTACATCTTAATCCTCAAGAAGACGCAACATTTGTGACCAAAACAAGCACAGAAATTGATTTTACTTTCTTTTCAGGATTTACAGAAACAAACCTGAACTTGAATGGAAAACTCCATTCCTATAATTGTCATTTTAAAAAAATGGCCTACACCCATATGCCACAGAGGACACTCCAAGCTTTGTTTTCCAAAGCCCACCGAGGCAGCATCACGGCCTTTAAAAGCCAAGATTTTACGTGAACGACTCAGCAGGTTATTATCTAAAACTACAGCAGTCAGTGAGCCACGGCCAAATCCAGGCTACCACTCATGTGTGTAAAGAGGGCTTTCCTGGACCCCTGAGCTGTGCAAAGCCAACCAGCGGCACACAGGGGCTTCCTGCGCCAGGGACCCAGAGCAGAGCTGTGTTCCTGGAGCCGATCCAGGCTGGCATCTGCCTGAGGCCCGGACCTGCTGCCCGAGGCCCGGACCTGCCACCCGAGGCCCGGACCTGCAAGGCAGATCTCCAGGCCTTTGTCTGAGGCCAGGGTCAAGCACTTAACTGTTTCTGCCTCTCAGGACCCCTTGCTGGGCTACACCATTGCAAGTTCTGTCTGTAGTGTCTGGGGCCACATTCAGGGAGCACTGGTGGTACTGTGTTCAAAGCATTCCAACGGAAGAATGTACCAGGCTCCATGGGATAAAAGGCCTAGTGACCTATTTCCACAAAGTTGACAATGTTTGGACAACCAGCCTAGAAAGTAGCCCTCCTGTCCCAGAGCGGCTGTGAGTGGGAATCGACCCAAAAGCGTCACGGTCATTCTGTGTTGTTGGAGGACTGTTTCATCCTGCACCAGACACGCTGAGTCGTCACAGCACAGAACATCTGGCCGACAAAGTCAGAAATGTTTACGATCTGGTAAAAGCTGACCAGCCTCAGGGCTGGACAATTTCAGGGAGGCATCGGTCTCTGTGTTACGGAGCCCATCCTGGGATGGCCGAGCAAGGACAGGTGGTCAAGCTCCACTCTGGCTTCACCAAGGGTCCACACACACCAAGTTGGACTTTCAAACTTATTTTAGGCAAAACCTATTTATTCTTTTTTTTCCTGAAAGGTAGGAGTGGGAGAAATATTTTCAACTAAGCAAAATGCAATAATTACTTACAATGTCTTCAGAATTCTGCTCAAACATTATTGCCTGGCCTTTCCTCCAAGCCCTTTACATAAAGATTAATAAAGCAGCACATGGATTAATTCTACATGGTTAATAAACCAGTGCATGAGTGACTAGAAACCTGCATGATTTTAAGAGTTGGACCAATTTCTTCACTCAGAAAATGCTACTGCTCACACGCACGTCCCAGGAGTGTAACGGGCTCCTCAGCCAGGGTTCCACCCGTCTCCATTCTGCTCCATCCGCTGCTTGGCTGTCAGCTGCCTCTCGGAAACCTACACGTTTCCCCACACATCCTATGCCTTGGCATTCCTCGCTCGTGGTTTTGTCTGTCTGTTCTGCAGGAAGTGGCATTTGCCCTCCCAGGCAGCCCACTCACAGAGCTCGTGTGGTGCAGCGCCCTCATGACCAGGCCTCCGGGGATCAGAATGCTACATTCCACCAGAGTCCAGGCTGAGGACACACCTGACCAGGTAGACCAGTGCATGTGGGAGGCATAGATCTTGCCTTGACTGCACCATCTAAAGTCTACCTTTCCAGTTGGGTGGTCTTGAACTTTTCCAGGTTCAGCTGCTGCTGGAGCTCTTCCATCCTACCCAGGGAGGGACACAGAAGCCGATTTTTGACCAGCGTGGCCGCAGAAGGCCTGTCCTCTGGAGAAGGGCGGATCATGCTCTGATGACATAGGCCAAAAGAAAAGAGAGAGGTTCACTGTTGGGAATCACCCACCCACAGACCAAGTCCCAGCCTAGCCCATCCACCCAGGCCAGCCCTGTCCCTGCTTGCCCCTGCTCCCCGGGGAACCTTGCCTGTCCTCTGTGGAGAGAAGGGAATGAGTGAATGTTCGCTTCCACTTTGGGTGAGAGGTTCATCCCCATCCAGATGCACCAGTTCTCCTACTAGTAGGGACCACAGAAATGTCTGGATGACTACCTTGTCGAACCCTCCTTTAAAGGAAGAAACTGAGGCCCCAAGATTGAAAAGTGTTTGTTTCTCCAATGTATTGGCAGGAGCAACATCAAGACAAGGTTATTCAACTCACTGTCCAACCTCCTTCCTACTATATCTTCCTTTTTCCACTTAAACGGAAAGACCACCTTCATCCAGCGAGGTTGTGGATGCCCATCATACAGACAGCAGGACCGCAGAATGTCACTGTGCCCAGCAGGCAGCAGTGACGTCACCTGGGGAGAGCCCAGGCCTTCCCCCTGGAGACCAACCTCCCAGCCAGCTCCACTCTTCAGCAGCCACCCAACTCGGGTGACACTCAGTCTCCTTTCCCTGAAAATGAGGATAGCAATACTCACCCTACAAGACTGTCATCACCTTACCCAGAGCAAGCATAGCGGTAGAGTCAGGTACGCCATGGAGGAGTTTATACACAGAAATAGAGATGAGACTACGAGCAAAACACAATTGTGAGGAAGAAGGTTTGCCACCTCGTTTCTTGAAAACAGAACTTGGGAAGAGGGAAAAGTTTGTAGCACGTTTGAAGTTTGCAGGTCATCTATGAAGCTCAGATCTCATCACAGGGGAATATTTCTAAAGTTAGCTTACATCTGAACCTCTCCCATCCTAAAGAGCACTGGTGAAGCAATAGTTAGAGTATTTCACTGCTAACCGTGGTAAGAAGCCTGCCTTTTTCCAGAAAGAAAGCGAAAGTTCATTACAAAGACAGAGGAGAAAGGAAAAAAACCCAAAAAACCCAACAAAATGGGTGTCAGAAAAGACTGAAAATTGCACCAGATCATGGAAAAGCCAAAACAAAGGGAAAACATGCCAGAGTCAAAGTGCTGAATAGAAGATTTCAAAGAGCAGCTCAAGAAGACAAAGCAAAATATTATGATGGAATGTGTAGAGAGCTGGAATTGGAGAATATGAAGGGAAGAACTCACTCTGAATTTCTCAAGCTGAGAGAACTGAAAAACACATTTAAGCCTCGAGTCACAATATTAAAAGATGCTGTGGGAAATCAAATGACCCAAAAAGCATCGAAAAAAGATAGAGGTTTGGCCCCTACCCATCTTCAGCCCTCTCCCACCCTGAGTTCCCATACATAACTAGTTCTCCTTCTAATTTTACAATAATGATCTTATGCAGTATTTGTCCTTATGAGCCTATATTAGTTCACTCAGCATAATGCTCTCCAGCCTCTCCCAAGTTTCATAGTATTTTTCAAAATTGTTGCTCCTGAGTGCTGCATAGTATTCCATCATATTAATGTACCACAATTTCTCAGTCCACTCAGGGCTGCACAGTTTAGTGGATGAAGGGAGGGGGTGGAAGAAATGGGAAGGATCCAGGCAAAAAGACAGGGTAATGATGGGCAATGTCCAGTGGTAATTAAGTTTATAAAACATAATGCATGAGAATGATTGTATGAAACAATGTGAACGTAGTGCATGTAGTGTGAAATATAATATATATGAATTTTGTAAGTAAACCAATAAAAAAGAATGCAAATTAAAATTTAAAAAGAAGATGATGATGATGGAGGGAATACACAGAATCTCTGTACCAAAAATAACTGACACTGAAGAATTTTAGAAAGTACCATATGAGGAGTCAATGGTAATGAAGAAGCAAGTGGAAGATGTATTGAAGGCACGCCCAAAACCAAGGTCCCAGGATGATGGAACACCACTGACTTGATTCAATTAACAGATGCAGCCCTGGAAGCAGTCACCAGTCTATGCTAGGAAATTTGGAGGACAGCTGTCTGGCCAAAGGGTTGGAAGAGGCCCAGAATTTGTTCCCATTCCAAAGAAAGATGATCGAACAGAATGTAAAAACTATCAAACAATATCATTAATATCACATGCAAGCAAAATACTGAAGATCATTCAAAAATGGCTAGAACAGTATAGATAGGGAACTTCCAGAAGTTCAAGCAGGATTTAGAAAAGGCTGTGGCACCAGGGACATCACTGCTGATGTCAGACAGATACTGGCTGAACATAAATATCAGAAGGATGTCTATTTAAGCTATATTGACTATGCAAAGGCAACTGTGTAGACCACTAAAAGTTGTGGCTGATGTCGAGAAAAATGGGAGTGTGAGAGCACTTAATTGTGCTCATGCGAAATCTATACCTAGACCAGGAGACTGTTGTGTAAACAGATCAAAGGGATACTGCATGGTTTAAAATTAGCAAGGGAGTGCATCAAAGTTGTATTCTCTTTCCACACCTATTCAATCTGTATGCTGGACAAACTGAGAAGCTGGACTCTATGCAGAGGAATGGGGCATCAAGATCAGAGGGAGACTCATCAATAACCTGCGTTATACAGATGACACGACCTTGCTTGCTGAAAGTGAGGAGGATTCGAAGCGCTTGTTTCATAGCATCACCAAATACAGCCTTCAATATGGATTGTATCTCAAAATACAGCCTTCAATATAGATTGTATCTCAATGTCAAGAAGACAAAGATTCTTACCACAGGACCGATAGGCAACGTCATGATGGATGAGGAAGAGATTGAAACTGTCAACAACTTCATCTTACTTGGGTCCCCAATTAATACCCTTGGTACCAGCACTCAGGAAATGAGGAACTATATTGCAATGGGAAAGTCTGCACTTAGGGACCTCTCCAAATTATTGAGGAGTCATGATGTCAGTTTGAGGAATAAAGTGTGTCTGATTCATGCCATGGTCTTGCCAATCACGTGCTATCATCTGAGAGCTGGACAATAAATCAGGATGATAGAAGAATTGATGCCTTTGAGCTGTGGTGTTGGAAAAGAGCACTGAACATCCCAGGGATGGCCAAAGAGCAAACAAGTATGTCTTGGACAGGGTGCAGCTGGAGTGATCTTTGGAGGCAAAGATGATGAGTCCTTGTTTCACATACCTCGGCCATGTTACTAAGCGGGGCTCTTCCTTGGAGAGGGACATGATGCTCGGAAAGGCGTAGGATCAGCAAAGAAGAGGAATGAGGTGGATTGACTTGGTTACTGCCTCAATGGGCTAATGTGTCAGGAAGTGTGAGGATGGCTCAGGACAGGGTTCAGATTTGATATTTATAAGGTCGCGATGGGTCATACTCAATGGCACCTAATAACAGCAACAACCACCACAAAAAGGTTAGTGGTTTGAACCCGTCAGTCATTTACAGGAGGAAGATTTGGTGGATCCACGCTTCTGTGGGACCACAGCCTTGGAGACCCGGAAGGACAGCTCCACTCTGTCCTGCAGAGTCACCATGAGTCAAAACTGCCTTGACAGTAACGGGCTTTTGGAACTTCATCCTATTCTGCAAGCCTGTTTGATTTTTATTTCGTTGATAGACATTGTAAGCTCTCAGTACTGTAGGTCCTCATGGACCCATCTTTGCTATGACAGAAACCACGGTGGTACTGCTGATAGGCGGTCAGTTGCCAAACTGAAGGCCAGCCTTCTGACCCATCAGCTTCTCCATGAAAAAGACGGTGGTCCGCCTCCACAGAGACCACAGCCTCGGGCCTGCAGAGAAGCCCTGCTCTGCCCTGCAGGCTGGTGGAGGGTCAGAATCTACTCCAGGCCAAAGGCCTGGGTTTTCGCTCCACAGCTGTCCTCTTCCTTGTCCCCACATAGATGTCAGCTGTTGTCAACTACAATTATTTCATGGATTCTTGAGTTACCATTATGATTTCCTCCAGGAGCTCAAATGAATAATGGCATTATCAGTTACCAATCAAAATAGCTTATCTCACAGCCATTAACTCAACTCCAACCTGTGGGAACCCCCCAGATTCCACTGTCAATCTTTTCAGGAGGGTTCGCCTTTTTTTTTCTCCCCTGAGCAGTTTTTAGACTTGAACTGCCCACCTTTCAGTTAACAATCCAACACATTACACATTATGCCACCAGAACTCCTGACAAGAGTTTATGCCTTCCTCTCTATGCTCAAAGTGTAACTCTCTCTCATATCATCATCATCATCATCATTGTTACGTCAAAAAGAGTTCGAGCCCTAACAGGAGTCAAGAGAAGCTCCTGACTACGAGCTTGGGTGCTTCTCTGAGCCTCAGTTTCCCCAACTGCACAAAGAGTCTCTTCCATCTTGGGTGTTGAAACTGGAGAGATTGTTAGAAGAGCCAAATGAAAAAAGATGTTTCTAATAGGATTTTGCAAACTAGATAGAGCATGAAGGTTTTACGCCTTCGGGGTCTTCTGGAGAAGAACCCCACGTGTCCCACTGGGCTTTCGGTCAGGTCCCCCTCCTCCACAAACAGCATCCCATTTCCCTTCCACCCCCCACCCCCACCCCCAACTTGCCACAACTCCATTTTCTCTTCGCAAGAGAAATCACCTGGATCAGACTGTAAAAGCTCTCAGAGAGCATCTGCGGTATGTCTGGAAGGTTCCCCTGGCGGATATGATGCCACTTATCACCATTGCTAGGTAAGGACTCGGCTCCTGCAGCCACTGCAATTGTTAATCCCAAGGCAAATATGTCTGCTTTCGGAAGGTGCTTAAAATCCTTCAAAACGAGAGCCACAAAGGGTGGTTAGTTTCCCAACTCTTAGGAAACGTTCACTTGAGTGTTGTTATTCTCTAAACCTCTTACTCTGTTCAGCTCGGAGAGGTTTAAGCTGTCAATGGCCAATCACAAGAGGAAATACTAGGTGTTTTATGATTATTATCCTGAAGGAAGTCATCCCTCCTACACTTGACTGGAGACACATCTAGAAGATGAATGTTGACTAAAGTCACTCAATTATTAGCATTGGTGGTGCTGTCAGAAGGGTGGAAGAGCTTGGTAATGATGGGTGGGACCTGTAAGGGTTTGAGGGCAAGGTTTCTTTCTTGGTAGATAAACCCCAGGCTTAGGAATTGTAAGGAGTATGAGAAGCCAGTGACTGGGATAATCAGGATGGGAGTGTCAGAGACAGTGCGATTGGCACAGGACAGAGCAGAGTTTAGGGCTGTTGTACATAGGGTCGCTATGAGTCGCAAGCGACTCGACGCCACATAACAACAACAACAACATGAAAAGCCAGATAGGACCTGGTATGAATACAACTCATGCTTGATGGGACCTACTGTTGTGTTTTTATGGCATGTTTCTCTCCTATCTTTTGTCTACACTGAATGGGAAAGAGACGCTATCTGTTGAAATTACTTCATTCTGCACATCATAGGCCTTCATTTGAGAGTCCACAGTTGTACATATTACAAAATTCCAAACAAAATACCCTTCGTTTCCCTGAACTATACCTCTTGTAAAATTTCGGAAGCCAGAAAGCGAATGTCACCCTCTTCCACTTTAGGTTTACTTATTAATGTCACGTGGCCCAGGTCACCTAAAAGAGAGAGGAGAGAGAGGAGAGAGAGAGGAAGGAGAGAAGGGGAAAGGGAGGGGGAGGGAGAGAGGGAGGGGGAGAGAGAGGAGTGTTCTTTATGACATGGCTCCAGGGAGCTGGGACACAGCAGCCCCAGCCTAAGTTTTCTGGATGGCAGCAACCGCAGGAGTGGAAGGCCAACTCACCAATTTTATATATCACTTTGGCAGAGAGAAACCAATCAGCCTCAGACCCAGGCTCTGCTGAGGTGGCAGAAGAGGAGGTGTTATAACAAATGAAGATGTTACCTGAAAAAAATAGAATTGATGTAAGTAGTAACTCCTAACTTGTTCCCCCCCTCCCCTGCCAGAGACTCTTTCCTGTATCTGTTATCGCTGCTTCCTTCTCTTTCTCGGTGTTTGTGTACCAGGACTGCTAGAGCTTCCATTCCATGGGACAATTCCCGTGGTTGAGACTGCCCACACCTGCTTAGGGCCCACACACAGTGACCACTTAGGCCTCACGATAGTAAATCCGAGCAGCACTCATTGATCACTGCTCACTCAGGCTGGGGCCTAATCACAAGGAATATAGCACGCATCGTCACCGTGATCAGGATGCAGCCAATGTCCTGGTTTTGTCATCAATTAAATAACCATTGTCATAACTTGTCCCACTGTGTTGACAAGACACTTTCCTCAATTCTCTGGGCCCACAAGGAAGGTAGAGCAAGATCCCTAATTCGGTATTTTCAAGAGAGACATGTATAGAACGGGGGTTTCAAAAATATTTTCTTGGGCATATGCTGAACACACAGGCCCAGCTTCTAAGACGGTGGGGAGAGGGCATGGCACGCATGGGCAAGGAGGGGAGTCCACTGACTGGGCTTGATGTCCAGGTGCACCAGGTCAGTGCTGTGCATATACTTCAGCCCCAAGGAAATGTGCAGAAGGATGTCCTTGAGGTGGGACTCTTGGAAATGACTGTTGACCACCTTCGTGTGACACACAGCAGTCTGCAGGTTCCCACCTGGGGAAGAACAGCAAGGCGTAAGTAGGAGTCCTCCAGGCTCGGGGGATGCATGTGTCTTCTGGATGGGAGCCTGGTACACACTCGGGCACCCCTCACCCTGTGCTTCATACCAGCAAGCCGAGATTACTTCAGGGTCAATATAAGCATGGCAACAGCTTCCCTCTCTGTAAACCACACTGGAAAGGAGAGATTTTAGAGAAGAAAATTCTAGTGTCCCGTGTTTCCAATTTGTGACAGCACTGCCTAGAGCAGGAACCCCTGGTGGTTTAGTGGTAAGGAATTGTGCTGCCAATGTAAAGGTACATGGCTTGAGTCCACCAGCTGCTCCAAAGGAGAACGATGGGCAGTCTCCTCCCGTGGGGTTTGCTGCCTCTACACCTGCCGGAGGGTGATCTCTGGGCTGATTCCGTCTTGATGGTATGTAGCAACAGCACTACCGTGAGCGTGCCCCGAGTAACACAGTTAACAGCTACCAGTCTGTCAGACAGTCCTACAATGGTAGTGCATGTGTTGCTGTGACTGTGGAAGCTATAGCGTTTGAAGTGGCCGCAGGGTCACCCATGTAACAAGATTCAGCAGAGCTCCTGGACGGAGACTGACCAGAAGGAAATACAGGGGCTCTGCTTTTGAAAATCATTGACAACCCTGTTACTCATCGCAGAACCTTGTCCAGCATAGTGCTGGGAGACGGCCCTGGGCTGGAAGGCACCCAACAAGCATGGTCATAACAATGGACTTGAGCACATTGGTGACCATGAAGGTGGTACAAGACCAGGAAGCATTTCCTTCTGCTGCTGCGGGCTGACTTGCCAGGAGCTAACAAGCACTGTAACAAAGCAGAAGCCCAACTACTCTAAGCATAGTTATCCCATAGTGCTCCTCTGTCAGACCTGACCTTGGTGTAGATCATTCCGTCCACTATCATGATTCTCTGATGTTAACGATGACTAGTAATCATAATACAATTCGTTCTAAATTCAACTCCATGACAAATACATCATGAGGTGTGAGCATATGAGGATTGCTCACTCAGAATGTTTGCGGTGGTGCCTCGTCGAGTTGGAACCAACTCCTAGCTGGCCTGCCAACTGGTCTTCATGCATTGGAGGAGCTTACCTGTCCTTTTCCCATGATGCAGCTGGTGGGCTTGAGCTCTGCTGCCTCTGGGCTGACCACGCAGCTTCTTTCCACTGAGCCTCCACCACCGCCCCCCCCCCCAGAAGCCCCTGTGTACACCTAAACTCTGGTTACATCACAACATAGACACTCTCCTGATGAAACACTGTTAACAATGAAAAAACACTTTCAGGGATAATTTCTATAGTTACTATATCAGTGAAAACTAGAGCCTAGATTTATATAAGCTCCTGATGTTGGATACCCCTGCACGGACGTATTAAATTACTCGATATAGTATCTGGGGCAGTGGGGGTTGGTGTGTCGGAATTAGTGAGACTCGCTCAGGACAGAAAAGGTTTCCGAGCTGCTGTACGGAGGGTCGCTATACATGCCATATTGACTGTGTGTATTTAAGCCTCTTGTTGAGCATCAACAAGACCTAAATACAAAGAAGGGCCTTTGCATCTAAAGTTGGTTATTACTGCATTTTGGAGAAACATTCTTCTTGGTGATACAGCACTCTTCTGTCAATTTGCTGTACTGAGTTAACCTGGGGTTGCTGTGATGCTGAACCTTGTGCCATTGGGGTGTCAAATGGCATAATGGTTACCCATGGTGGATGGTGTTTGGTGGAGCTCCCCGTTTAAGACAGGGTTGGAAGCAGGCATCCACTTCCTAAACAACATGCCTCTGGAAACTCTATGAACTTTGATAAATGACAATAATTATAAAAAGGCTTCAGGCCTTTGGTTCACAGGGTTGCTATGAGTCATGCTCAACTCAGTGGCAAACAACAACAACAACTATTCCCACTAGAGGGTCACCTATGAGTCAATCTTGACTCACTGGTACGTAACAACAACAAACATTAAGTAACCACTAGTCTTTGCAATTACTTGCTATGCATCAAAGCTGGACAATGACTAGGGATGATAGAGAATTGATGCCTTTGAGCTGTGGTGCTGGAGAAGAGTATTGAATGTATCACGGACTGCTAGAGAACAAAGAGCAACCAGTCCCTGGAGAGGAACGTCATGCTTGGGAGGGTGGAGGGACAGCACAAGAGAGGAAGACGCTCTATGAGATGGATTGATTCAGTGACTGGGGTAATGGGAGTAGGTGTGTCAGAGACAGTGAGGTTGGCACAGGATAGAGCTGGGTTTAGGGCTGTTGTACACAGGGTCGCTATGAGTCATAGGTGACTTTACAGCACATAACAACAAGAAATATAATAAATCTTTATAATTGTATATTAAGAATTAATTCTACAGAGAAGTTATAACGCAAAAAAGAGTAAAAACACAAAACTGCTGTCATGCCAACCTCTTAATAGCTTAAATATATGTTAATCTCAAGGGACGACTGTGTTAAGTTAGCAGAAAAGTCAGCCCGAGTCCTGTGGATGTGGGTCCTGGAGGACTCAGGCAAAGCCATTTGAAGCCATGGCTTTAAGATCCAGCACAACCTCACACCCCACTCAAATCTTAGAATGCAGTAACAAAGAGGATAGAGCACCCACAATTCAGGGATCCACTGAGAAATAAATAAGCGGATGCATAATCAACCAATGCCAGAGAGGAAAGTGCTGTTTCCACCCACCCACGTGATAGTGAAAATAATTTTCATCTTCTCGGATATTTACAGGCCTTCTGGTGGCACAGGGCTGAAGCACTTAGCTGTGGACTGGAAGGTCGGTGATTGAAACTTCCCAGCCAGTCCATGGGAGGAAGACGCAGCAGTGCGCTACCATGCACGACAAGGCTGTGGTGCAGGCTGCCCGAGTCTGGCCCATTTTTCTTACTTGGCACAAGCTACTCAAAGGCAGGAACTAAGAGGCAAAGGTTTCTAAAGGAATCTTTCTTTGATGCCACCTACTTTTAAAACCCACCAGAACCACAGCCTGGAACAATCACATGATGGTTTAGGAAATGCTTGTCTCGAATGTGGAAGTCTGAGAAAGGTTCTGTATGTGAGACAGTGCACAGCTGTGGGTGGTGATGGTCTGACCTTGAATGATCTCCGTTGTACTATGAACTAGGAGGAGTTCAGCTCCTCCTCTGCACAGATCCGCCGGGCACCTACCATTGCAGTACTCGTTCTGGATGATCATGTGCTTGTCCTCCACCCAGGAGGAGTAGTAACGCACTATGTGCGGGTGGTGCCCGAGCACCGCGTGGGCATACACTTCCCGTAACACCACGTCCCTGAAAGACAGGAGAACATTGAGAAGACACAAGAGAACTGTGCAAGGGGAGCTGGGCTGAACAAGCTAGGAGGCGCTGTCCGCTCTCACAGGGCAGGGCGCTCACCGAGTCCTTACTGCTTCTCTCACTATCTCATCTCCACTTCTATAGCTGCTCAATATGTTATTGCTGTGTGCCGTCGAGTCATAACCAGCCCACAGCCGACTCTTCAGCAGGTTTTCAGAAGCAGTAAAATCATACAGGAGGAGATTGCCAATCCTTCTCCCATACAGCAGCTGGTGCATTTGAACTGTGTGCCTTTGGGATTGCAGTACAGCTCTTTACCAAGCCACCAAAGCTCCAGGGTACTTAACACACTCTTGTTACTAAAGGAGCTCCAATGGCTTTGTTTACAAGGAGTTGTGCTACCATCCAGAGGGCCCCTCCTTTCTGTGGTTCAAATCCACAGCCCGCTCATGGGAGAAAAGATGAAAAATCTCCTCCCATGTGACTTACAAGCCCAGAAATCCACTGCACAGTCAGCACTCTCATGAACCTGAGTTAATAACTTCCAACTCAGCAGTAGTTCTAACAGGCCCAAGAAGACACAACCACTAGGAAGCAGCTGTTGTTCATTGTTATGTGTCATCAAATTGCCTGCAACTTGTTATGCGCTGTCGAGTTGCTTGAGACTCGTCGCAACCCTGTGTACGACAGCTCTGAATCTGGATCTACCCTGAGTTGGCATCATTGTCTCTGGCACACCTATCCCCAATACCCTAGTCACTGAATCATTGCATTTCATTGAGGGTTGTCCTCTCCTGCACTGTCCCTCCACCCTCCCAAGCATGAAGTCCCTCTCCAAGGACTGGTCCCCCTCCACGCAACATGCCCAAAGTATGTCAGACAAAGCTTCAGAATCCTTGCCTCCAAGGAGCAGCCTGGTTTGACCCTTTCCAGGATGAATCTCTTTGTTTTCCTAGCAGTGCATAGTATATTCAATACTTCAGCACCCCAGCTCAAAGGCATCGATTCTCCATCTATCATTCCTGGTCATTGTCCAGCTTTCTGATGTATAGCCAAGTAATCGCAAAGACTATGGCCTGGATCAGGCATACATCAGTCTCCAGACTGACATCATTGCTCTTCAGTACTCTGGAGAGGTCTCTGACAGTAGACTTCCCCAGTATAATTCCAGGACTCATAGCAACCCTATATACAGTAACTCTTGACTCTGTCCTAATCTGAGCCAGTCTCACTAACTGATACACCTAATCCCACTGCCCCAGTTACCATGTCAGTCCATCCCCTCTAGGGTCTTCCTCTCCTGCTCTGTCCTTCTACCCTTCCATACATGATGGCCTTCTCCAGGGACTAGTCCCTCCTGGTCATGTGCCCGAAGTATGTGAGACAGAGCTTCAAGATCTTTGTCTCCAAGGAGAAACTTAGTTTCAAGACAGACCTATTTGTTCTCCGGGCAGTCCATGGCATGTTTAATATTCTTCTCCTGCTCCACAACGCAAAGGCATCAATTCATTTTTGTCATCCTTAGTCACTGTCTAGCTCTCTGCATCACAAGTAATTGAGAAGACCGTGGCCTGGATCAGGCACACCTTAGTCTCTAGACTGTCATCATTACTCTTTAGCACTTTGGAGAAGTTCCTGACAACGTATTTCCCTAATGCAATTTGGTTTTTTGTTTCCTGACTGCTATTGCCAACAGTGTTTACTGTGAAGCTGAGCAAGCTGACATTGTTAACCTCAAGCGCTTCTCTGTCCAGGATGGGGCTACCAATTGGCCTACCAGTGAGAATCTTGGTCTTCTTAACGTTAAAGCTTCAGTCCATATTAAAGACTACAGTTCTCATCCTTCTGCAGCAAACACTCCAGGTTCACTCAGTTCCAGCAAGCAAGGTTGTATCCTTCGCCTAACACAGGTTGTTAATGAGTCTTCTTCCAATCCTGATGCCACACTCCTCATAAAGTCTAGCCCCTCAAATAAACTGTTCAATGTACAGGTTGAAAAGGTATGGAGACAGGACACATCCCTAATGCACTCCCTAATTTGAAACCATGCAGTGTTTCCTTGCTCTGTTCTGATGACTACCTCCTAGTCCAGGTAAAAGTTTCACATGAGCACAATCAAGTGTTCTGACATTCCTATGCTTCTCAAGGTTAGCCACCATTTATTGTGATCTACACAATCAAACATCTTTGCATAGTCAGGAAAACACAAATAGACATTCCTCTGGGACTCTTTGCTCTCTGCCAAAATCTATCCAACATTGGTGATAATGTGTCTAGTGTCACAGCCTTTTCTAAACCCAGCTTGTATTTCTGGTAATTCTCTGTTAATGTTCTGTTCCAGATCACTTTTTAGGATCGGAATAAATATGGGTCTCAGTTGGCCAGGTAGTTGTTCTCCAGATTTCTTGGCATAACCTGGTGAGCACATCCAGCGCACCATCTGTTGAAATAATGTCAATGGGTATTCCATCAATTCCTGGGGCCTTGTTTTTGTTTTTGGTTTTTCCCCCAATTCCTTCAAAGCAGCTTGAACTTCCTCTGTCACTATTGTCTCTTGATTATATGTTGTTTCATGAAATTCTTCTGTGTCAACTAATTCTTTTTGGTACCGTGACTCTGTTCTCCTTCCATCTTTTGATGCTTCCTAGATGATTCAGTATTCTAACATAGCAACCTTAAGTATTGCAACTCAAGGTTTGAATTTGTTCTTCAGTTCCTTCAGCTTAAGAAATGCCAAACAAGTTCATTTCTTTTGATTTTCTGACTCCAACTCTTTGCACATTTCATTATAATGCTTTGTCTTCCTGAACTGCCCTTTTAAATCTTCTGTTCAATTCTTAAATTCCTGGTTTCTTCCCTTTGCTTTGGTTTCTCAGTGTTCTAGTGCAATATTTAAAGCCTCTTCTGACATCCATCTCAGTCTTTTCTTCTGCTTTTGTCTTTGTAATGGTATTTTGCATTCTTCCTGGATGATATTGTTTGTTCCTTACATTAGTGTTCAAGGACTCAAATTTGTTCCTGAGATGGTTTTGAAATTCAGGTAGGATAGACCCACGGTAAAATTTTGGTTCCTATGGATTTAATCTTCTTTAGCTTTAGTGTGAACTCGCATATGAGTATTTGATAGTTTGTTCTACAATTAGTAGGTGGCCTAGTTTTCATAGCTGATATTAAAATTCCCCAATGATTCTTTCCACAGATGTAATCATTCTTATACCTGTGCATACCATCAGGTGAAATACATGTGTATAGTCACCATTTTACGTTTCTTATAAAAGGTATTTACCATGAACAGCTCATTGATTATACAGAATTCTATCATTCTATCTCCAGCCTCATTTCTGTCACTAAGTCTCTGTGTCCTGTCTACCGATCCTTCTTCCCTGTTCCCAACTTTTGCATTCCAGTCACCCATTATTATTAATGCATGTCAGGAATTGAAGTGACATAGTGCGGTGGGCAAATCTGTCAAAGAAAAATCTTTCCTAATGTGTTCAAAAGCAAAAATGTCCATTTTGAAGACTGAAGTGCACTTGACCCAAGCCATAACATTTTCTGTCGTCTTTTAAACATGAAAAAGGAATGCAGAAGGTGAAGAGCCAATGCCTATGAAATGTGGCAGAACTGAAGAACACTGACGGTACAAGGGACTCCGGATCAGACAGTCTGCCACGGGGGAAGCACTGCAGGACACTCCTGAGCAGCGAGCATGGGGAGACTCCGTCTCCTGTTCTTTGGTCGTGTTATTAGTCGGGATGTGTCCCTGGAGAAGGACATGTACTCGGTAGAGGGTGAATGAGAAGAGGAGGCCTCGCAAGGAAATGGGTGCAGTGGCCGCCAACCATGAGGCACTTAACCGAGAGTAAAGGAGGGCTCGGGGCTCAGTCAGCCTGTGTTCTCTTTTATACAGAGTTGTGTTGAGTTATGATCAACTTGATGGCACCTAACAACAAGATTCATTTAAAAAGCAGCAAGACCAGGAGTAGAAGGGGAAAGCCAACAGAATTCCAGAAACGCAAATATGAGATAGCATACATTGCAGAAGACTCACTGCTAAAAAGGATAAATGGTATACTTTTCGGTAATTAATGCTATTAGTTAAAATAGTTGGAAAGAAAATGTTCCACCTCAAGTATGAAGGGTCAATACGTATCAAAGATACTTACTCATCTTTAATGTCATCAAAAGATCTAATCAAGTGTTTGACTGCATAAACACACCCATCTAATCTCTTAATGCATTTGTAGACTGTTCCAAATGCCCCAATTCCAATCCTCTCCAGCTGCAGGAATTCCTTTTCATAGCGAGAAGTCATTTCCATTATTCGTAGGACACATCTCTTAAAATAAAGAAATAAATAAATACATACATACATACATGCATACATACATAAATAAATAAATAAAACAAGTCTTCATAACATGTTCTGGGTAACAAAGAAAAAGGCATTCTGAGTTATGCAGTTGATGTCATTGAAATGCACACAGAAATTGCTGAACTTGCAAACGTTCTGTTGTGTATATTTTCATCAGAATAATGTTTTCAAAGAAACTGAGGCTTGGTGTGTCTGAACCACCACTGTTACAGTTGTCATTGGGTATCACTGAGCCCGGACCCCACTCACTGATCCCATGCACAACAGAGTGAAGTGTGGCCGTGTGTTGTGCGGTTCCTGTAGTGTTTGCTATGCTTGACCTCATCGTTGGAGCACGCTGTCCGTCCCTCACATCCCGGGAGAACGTGCTGACAAAGTGCAGGAGATCAAGTCTCACCATCCTTATTTCTGGAGTTTTCCAGCGGGGCTGCTTCCAGGACAGACTCCACTCTCCTGGCAGCCCATGGGCTGTGCTCAATAGCCAGCACAAGTACCTAATTCTTCTCAGTCTCCCTTACCCATCGTCACAGACTGGTCATGCCTGCGATACTGTTTGAAATTCCAGGACTCCAGCAGGTGCCCCTTCTCACGCTCCCATCTCTGCTGTTTACCGTTTTAGGGAGGGTTTGCACAGACCGCCTCAATGCAATTCTTTCTCAGTTGCTGCTTCCACAGAAATTGATTGTGTATACAAGTAAAATAAAATTCTCAACAACTTCGCTCTCCCCCCCATCATAATTTGTCTTATCGGGCCAGTCGTGAGGATTCGGTCTTTATGATGCTCTGTAATCTGTGTTGAAGACAATGGTCTGTGATGCTCGGAAAGAGCTCCCAGCAAGCCAGGTGTGCAGGTCACCTGCGCATTACACAGGTTGTTAAGGAATTTTCTTCCTGTCTATTTCTTCTCCATATAGTCCAGTTTCTGGGGTTACTTGCTCAGTAAACAAACTGAACAAAGATGGTGAAAAGATTCAACCCTGACACACACCTTTCCTGCTTTTAAACAACTCCATTTAATTTTGTTCTGTAACTTTTCTAAAGACTTTTAAGGCAAATTCAGATCCACTAGGCCCTTGGTCTATACTCTCCGCATCCAGATGGCTCTGTCTGTGTTCACCCTAGCCTTCTGTACAAGGCTCACCTCACGTTTCCCCTCCTACCTCTGCTAGCACTGCTGCTTCCATCTGGCCAGTTACCCTCCTGAGAAGTTTTCTCCAGCTGCTGTGATGTGCCATCGAGTCAGAACCGACTCATCGCTGACTCTCCAGTGGGTTTTCAGAGGTAGTAAACTTGCACAGGAAGAGATTGCTCTCCCACCTGCCGAGTGTCTGGTGAACTTGAACCACATGTTTTTGGGATTGCAGTGTGGCTTCTTACCATGAGGCCGCCAGAGCTCCCAGGACTACTGTCCTTCACTGGGGTGAGGTGAAACACATTTTAAAAGCAGCACCTTCCCTTGGTCCTCTTGCCTCCCTGTATCACGAGCTGCTAATGTCTCCATGTCAAGTTGAATAAACACAGTAGTTTTCAGTTTCCTATTTTTAAGTCATGACATGCAAATTCATGAAGTGTTCCATATTTTTGTGATTGGCACAGAGCAGGGTTTAGGGCTCCTGTACATAGGGTTGCTATGAGTCACAAGCGACTTGACGGCACTTAACAACAACAACAACATTTTTAAGTAGCATCAAGTCAACTCCAGCTCATAGCAGCCCCATGTACAACACAGCAGAGACTTGCCTGGGCCTGTGCCGTCCTCAGTCTCCACCAGGCTCAGCCCACTGCTGAAGTCACTGGGGCAATCCAGCCCACTGCTGAAGTCACTGGGGCAATCCAGCCCACTGCTGAAGTCACTGGGGTGATCCAGCCCACTGCTGAAGTCACTGGGGCGATCCAGCCCATTGAAAGGCTTCCTCTCTTTCTTTCACTAGCCTTCTATTTTTCTAAGCATGATGCCATTCTCTAGGTACTGGCCACTTCCTGACAACATGCCGAAAGTGAGTGAAATGAACACTCATCATTCTTGCTTCTAAGCAGCTCTCCAATTGTACACCCCACTCCCTTCCCACACCCACGTCAGACGCGTGAGCCGGTGCTCCCTCACCATTCACTCACACAGAAATCTATAGAAAACTCAAAGACCTCAACAAGAAAAAGACAATCAACAATTATAAAATGGGAAGAAAATGTGAAAAGACACATCACCAGACACTAGTCATCCTCCAGCTCTCAGATGTACAGCAAGTGACTGGAAAGACTATTGCTTGAATCAGGCGCACTTTACTTCTCAAACTGACATCATTGCTCCTCAATAATTCATAGGTTTACCGTTAGTATATTCCTTATTCATAGGTTGCATTTATTTATTCATGTTCTCAGAATACCATTTCTTTTCATTACGTGTTGGTGCAAGTTTACAGAGCAAACCTATTTTCTATTCAACAGTTGATATGCATTTTGCCTTGTGACATTGGCCATCGTCCTTTAAATGTGACATCACTCTGTCCCTCATCCGTGGGCCCTGCTTCTACCCATCCTTCTATCCTGCACTCCCTGCCTGCCTTCCCAGCATTGTTTTGGAGCAAACACTGTCCTTTGGACCGATGTGGTTGATCACAGGTTGTTTTTCATTTATTCCAAAGGTGTTAGACAGCCAGTGGCCTTTCAGGAGGAACCTTTGTGTAGATATTCTTCCCATTACAGGGTCTATATGCATTGCTTTGCGCATATTGAATGTTCAAGAAATGTTGGCATTTTTGCCTGAAACCAGGAAGAACATTTATAAAATAAGTTAAAGATCAAATCCTAGGGTAAAATTATCAAAATAATATTCACAAGTTAGAATCATTGCTGTATAAAGATTGACTTCAGGTGACCTTTTGTGAAAACTTACTCCATTATCATTGGCTTCTTAGGATTTGTGGTATTAGAAATGCGGTTGTAAGAGCCAGTGCTAACACTTGCTTTATCTGTTAAAGAAAACTTAACATTGTTTAAAAAAAAATGATAAATGTTGTTCGTTGTTAAGTGCCGTTGAGTCATAGATGACTCATAGCGACCCTATGAACCAAAGACCTGAACACTTGTATAACTTTCATCATTTCTCTAAGTTCATAGGGTTTCCGGAGGCAAGCTATTTCAGAAGTGGATGCCACTCCTGCTTCCAAGCCTGTTTTAATTGGGGAGCTCCACCAAACACTGTCCACCCTGGGTGACCATTATCACACACAGTGTTTAACATCACAACAACCACAAGTTACTTCTGTACAGCAAATGGATAGACCAGTGCTATACCATTTAGGAGAAACTTTTTTACCAGAAACAATTAAAACCACGCTTGAGGTCCACATATTAAAGTCACCCACCTTTGGCTCGGTAGTACCACTTTCTGTCCACTAAGCCAACTGAGCTCTCTCTATGCTGTTGTTGTATGGCGCTTTCTCAAAAAGTTGCAAATAGAGATACCATTTGACCCAGCAATTCCACTACTGGGAATATACCCTGAAGAGACCATAGCTGACATCCAAGCAGATATATGCACACCCATGTTTATTGCAGCTTTGTTCACAATAGCAAGGAGTTGGAAACAACCTAAGTGCCCATCAACAAACGAATGGCTAGAGAAGCTGTGGTATATTCACACAATGGAATACTATGCTGCATTAAAAAACAAGGAACTCATGCAATATTATTCAAAATGGTTGACTCTGGAGAACATTATGCTGAGTGAAATATCCCAGTCACAAAAGGACAAATATTACATGATGCCACTGTTGTAGAATGGGACTGTCCTTGGGGTTGGGGAGAGACTGAGTAAGATGGGTTCAATAATGTATACTGCACTGAAACAGAGGAGGGAGAAAACTGTTTAAAAGAGATATGTGACTAGGTATTTCTGTCATCACAGGAGACTAGAGCGAGGGCTACATGGTGGAGGGGACCTGGGGGAGGGTTTGTAAAACAATGAAAGAATCTTTTCTTTTACTTTTCCATAATTGTTGACTCATGTACTTATAACTTGTTAGTCAAATTTGTGTCTTCTAGGTTGCAACACCCCCATGATACATCTTCAAGGATATGAACATGTACGGCCAAGCACAATCAATAAGAGTGCATCTAAATTCCAAAATCAATCTCCATAATAGTCTATGTGTTTCCTACTGCCAAAGGGGCCCTTTAGAGTAGTGAGAGAAGACCTTCACCCTGAAACCCACAGCGTCCCTTTTCAGCAGGAAGTAGCTAAGAGAATACGCCATCCCCTTTTCCTTATGACTCAGGGTGAAGTCTCTCTCAGGGAGGAGTGATAGGGAATGGCAAAGGACACACTGACAAAGGAGATTAATCAGAACTGGCTTTGACAAGCACTGTGGCATTTGGACAAGAACAAACTGGGAGGAGGGTAGAGAGAATAGTGCAACAATGAATGAATGGAAACCCAAAATCTCTGTAAAAGTTTATGAAAATTAATAAAATATAATTATAGAAAAAAAATAGGAAGGATAAAACCAAAGGACCTTACTCATTCAAAGTCATTACAATATCATTGGCTGCAGCTGCCCAGTTCTCTCTGATCGAGGGTGTGGCTAGTTTGAATCACTTCCTTATAAATACTGAGTCACTGCGTATGCTGACCACTGAAGCATGCTCTCTCATCCCATCCTGGTAATGGACGACGTAATGCATCAGGTTGTTAACCAAACAGTCAGCGGTTCAGACAGCTGCTCCTAGGGAGAGAGGTGAACATTCTCCTCCCCTAAGGTTTATGGCCTCAGAACTCAATCAAGGGTTGCAGTGGGTTGGAATCCACTCAGCAGCAGTGGGTTTTTAGCAGCATTTCAGGAGCCCCTGTGGTCCAGTGCTTAAGCACCTGACCGCTTGCCAAAACGTTCACAGTTCAAACCCACTCCCTGCCTCTCAGGAGAAAGACATGTCAGTCTACTTCTGTAAAGATTGTTTTAAAAGCA